GCCATTATCCTTCTTAGTCTATATAGCGAAAATGAGGTTGTATTCAGGTATTTAAGCAACTAGTAAATTACCCGTGCGTTGCCCGGGAAAAAAGAACAAAATCGTTGTCGCCGTCGTTGGTTAATCATCGCACCGGTAAATCTAACACTTTCATCTTACTATATATCAAGCTCTGAACAGTACTATGGTAGATGCAAGGAAGCACGGACACTTGTAAAAACAGGAAGAGTCGGGTCTGACACGCTCTGACACGGTGTCGGACAGGCGGTTGACTTTTTCCGACACGTTGACCATTCTGACCTACGAATTTGACCGTGTCGGACACCTATGATGCACGGACACGGGACACGACACGACACGACACGCCGACACGTTAATTTTAAAAAATGTCATATTTGGACACGTTGGGACACGTTTTGATATTAAATAAAATTTTTAATATATATAATATAATTTAATTTAATACATATAAAAATCCATAATAAGTCATATAATCAATCAAATATTTCAATTTCATAACATAAATATTAAAAAAAAATAATAGAACATCAAACCTTCAGATTGTTAAAGGGGAAGGAATCAATCATGCAGTTGAAGGTGTCTTAATTCCTAGTCTCATACACACGCACAGATGACAACTCTATCTCACTCTTGACTCTTTTTCTCTCTCTTTTTCCTTTGTTCCTTTTCCCCATGTTTTCTTGGAAAAGAAAAACAAGGTCTGGCTTTTTTGCAGGTGCCTAATAACCCAACCTTTTCCTCCTTTTACTCATCAAACCATCTCCCTCATTTTCTACTCTCTTTTAATATCAAGATACAAAACAAAACACACACACGCATAATCACTGTATCAAAACACAAAAACTCCTTTCTCGGAAGAACAATTTTTTTTATATTTATATTGCCTTTGGATTCTTCAAAGTTTTTTAAACAAATTATGCTGCCAATAGTCTCAAAAGAAGCCTTCATACGTTGCACTGTATATTAGATCTTTTTATGTTGATGTTCCTCAAGTTTTTTAATTAGATCCTTCCTTATAGATCATTGAAAGAAAAATTTCAGAGAATGGACAGAGACGCGACCAACGACCGGAAATGTAGCCGGCGACCGACGGCGAGAGGAAGAAGACGAGGACCGTTCCAGCGCGAGAGGCCACTTCCACCGTTCCAGACTTTTTCGTTTTTATTAAATATTTTTTATATTTTTTATTTTAATTTTATTTTTTTTTATAAAAAAAAATGCAAAACGTGTCCACATACGTTGACCGCGTGTCGGATACGGTCAAATTCGCGTGTCCCACTAGTCAACGTGTCCCAAAAAGTTGACCGCGTGTCGGACGCGTGTCCGAACGTGTCCAAACGTGTCCGTGTCCGACACGTGTCGTACACGCATTTTTCTTCAAAATTCTCGTGTCCGTGTTTCACAGTCGGACACGGTCAAATGACATTTTTGTAATTTGTTTTTAATTTTTTTTAAAAAAATTATTCTTTTTAAAAGTTAAAATATATTAATAAAGCTTCCACCCGATCATATCAATTTTATCTTTTTGTATTTTTTCTCCTTAAGTAGATAAGAGATCATCTCAGCATCATTGTTGTCAATTCCTATCACGCTCTTGTTGTATCTTCTTCTCTCTGATCTCTCTCTAATATGATTTGATCTCTCTATCTGATATTATCTCTCTCTCATCCCAGTTCTTATTTTTTTTATTAAAGCTTCCATCTTTATAATGTGTTGATGGGTATTATTAATTTAGTTTCATTTTTTTGTTAAATTATTAAATTTTAAATGAAATATACACTATATAATTAAAAATATTATTTAATATTAAAACGTGTCCAAACGTGTCGAAATCCATAATTTTTTAGGATTGACGTGTCGGAATGTCGTGTCACGTGTCACGTGTCGCGTGTCGTATCGGTGCTACATAGGGTAGATGTATAAACATGAAGGAATAAAAAAGCAAACCAATTATTTGAGAATTATCTGAAATAAAAAAGAATTATCTTGCTATTTTTGAACTTTAAATGGCTAAAGCATTCACACAGAACTTTGTAAATATCAACCACAAACAAAGTTTTGCAATTCAGAGGCATTGATTATTATGCAAATCAAATATAGTTATTTACTCAATAATTCAGTCTTCAAATATAACTACCAATGAACCTTTTGTTTTGCATTATTATTCAATATGATACCGTCTTATTAAGTCAGCCGTACACAAAATTTGCTACAAAATAAAATCAATTAATATACATGAAGAAAAAATAATAATAAATAATTACAAACAGATTTATAAAATAATAATAAATAATTATTTTTTTGCAAGGATTTGTGTCGTTAGTATTTGAAATTTTACAAATTTGTATTTACAAAAATTAAAATCAGATTTAGGAATTTAATTATAAAAGAAGAATGATGAAATTTTAATTTAATTACAAAAAAGTGTTGGTGGGTCGGCCCTCCGGGCTGAGCCCAGTTTTGTCACATCTAACTATCAGCATGCAATAAATTTTTATATTTATCCACAAAAAAGGTTCTTATCGTCACATTTAGGTTTTTATATTTTATCTCAAAGATGGACTTTCGTTTATTACAATCAGATTTAAAATATAATAATAAATAATTATTTTTGCAAGGATTTGCGTCGTTTGTATTTGAAATTTTATAAATTTGTATTTACAAAAATTAAAATCAGATTGAGGAATTTAATTATAAAAGAAGAAGAATGAAATTTTAATTTAATTATAAAAATGTGTTGGTAGGCCGGCCCTCCAGGCCGAGCCTAGTTTGCCACCTCTAACTATTAGCATTTAATAAGTTTTTATATTCATTCACACAAAAAGGCTCTTATAATTGCGTCTAGGTTTTTATATTTTATCTCAGAGATGAACTTTCATTTATTACAATTAGATTTACAAAATAATAATAAATAATTATTTTTCTGCAATGATTTGTGTCGATAGTATTTGAAATTTTATAAATTTGTATTTACAAAAATTGAAATCTAAATTGAGAATTTATTTATAAAAGAAGAATAGTGGAATTTTAATTTAATTATAAAAATATGTTGACAGGCAGGGCGGGCAGGCCCTCTGGGCCAAGCCTAGTTTGCAACCTTTAACTATCAGCATTTTATGTAAAAAATTATTTTTTTGCAAGGATTTTGTGTCATTAGTATTTTGAATTTTACAAAAATTGAAATCAGATTTAGGAATTTATTTATAAAAGAAGAATGATAAAATTTGAATTTAATTATAAATATTAGTTGGTGGGCTCGCCCTCCGGGTCGAGCCTAGTTTGTCACCTTTAACTGTCAGCATTTTATATCAGCATATAATATATTTTTATATTTATACACACAAAAGATGAATGGGCTAATGAAGTTGAATCTGGGAATCATAAAAAGACATTTAATTATCTTTACTTTGTAGTCATAAAAGCATGTTAAAAGACTTCTCAATTACCAACAATAATCATCATGGAAAGAATACGGAAGGTCTTTTCCATTATAGAAGGTTGGTTATTTATTGTTATGTTTTAATTTTTTGTGCACCCAATCATTAAAGATCGCATTAAAACTTTGCTTTTTAATTGCAATGCATAACTATAATTTATTAATAATAAATTTCTCATTATTGGAATTAGTCAAATATTGAAGAAAAAAATGGCGATAGACAAATAAGAATTAATGACCTATTAGTTATTATATGAGTCAATGAATCTACTGTGAATTTTAAAATAATAATGATTAAATCAGTTATAATTTTTATTCTTAAAAAACAATTATCACGTGTGATAAATAGTTTTTTATTATTTAATTATCTTTATTGATTGTTTATTTGTGTTCCTTGTGGATTTTGATGTTACAGTTCAAGAAAAGAATGGAAAACAACTCCTAAGTGAACAAATGTGCAAACGCAAATTTAAAAACCAAAAAAAAAAACACAAATAACAATAAAACATCATGAAACACGTTTAGTACACTCTCTCAGCACGTAAACATCAGAAAAAGGAATACAAAGACTCATCAAAAAACTCAATATCCTAAGAAATAAAATTAGACCATCGTCATTACACAAAACAAAAAAACTTCAAAATCTGCCTTGCATAATTGACATGTAACAGAAATACGATTTTGATCTCCATCATTGTCCCACAGAGACAGTATATCAGTCCTATGGAACAACTGCATAGTTATATTTTGACAGCAATTTAAGAGTGTTGTTTTGACTCCTCGAAAACAGCTTTTCGTGTTCCAAAGCACTATCATTTAAGAGTTACGTAAACTCTTCAAATTTTGATTTTACTAATTAAAAAATTAACTTTTCGAAAAATTAATGGTGTTATAATTCTCTGACATGAATTCGACGTCAATCCCTCTTTTATCACTATTGGCTCACTTTTTATCACCTGTATAAGTATTATATCATTTAAGTAAACTTTTCGAATATTGATTTTAGTAATTAAAAAATTAAATATTCCTTTGGTACCATTATCGTTTTAAATGTGAGGATTTTCAATAATAATTGTCAAGTCTACACACTCTTATTTATAAATCAATATCAATTCAACGTTTTATAATCCAAGCCGGAGAAGCAAATATATAATAATATTATAATCCATTCCAATATTGTTGTACCGAATGGAACAAAAAGTCCACAAAATTAACATTTCTGTCACGAACATGCATCTGAATACTTCGCAAAACAGTTTAACCAAAAATATTCTTTCGACCAAATTGTCGTCTGTATCAGCACATACAACTCGCAATAAGTCAAGGATCTCCTTCCTCCGGTTTTGTGTCTCCAGCTTCACCATCAAACCTATTCCAAAATATTTTTTCCCACGTGTCAGCGAATAATGCAATAAGGATTACAATATAAATGACTAAAGTACATAACACACTGAGAATTTACGGGATGGGACTTAACTCTTTCTCCAGTTTAATCTTTTTCAAAGGGCGGACAATAGAAGAATTACACTTGGCTTCAACACTATTAAGAAAATTCGGAGAGGGTGACAACAAAGACAGAGACATCTGCATCTCCTGTACTCTCACAGGTTTGACTCTCAACATCCTGAAAAAAAAAGTCAAAAATGTCACAAACGTATGTCTATGGAAACGGACAAAAACTTCATTCAATTGTTGTTGTTAACTTACAGCAACTCGTCCACGTTCTTGTGATACAACATCATTGTCGTCGGTGTTATCAAACAGGGTCTCATCCTGCATTATTTTTTTTAAAAACGTAAAAATTCAAACCAAATAAACAAACGACATACATTCGTTAACAGCATAATGTAACAAAAATAAAAAACGCAACAAATAAAAGACCTTAATTTAGAACGACATACATACATTAAACTCCATCACAGACTTAAGAAATGACTGGATAATAGATTCGCTGTTGCAAACCCTTGAAACTTGATATTTTGGCTCGTTCAATGAGTCTAAATGCTTTTTTTTCACATTGACCTTAAACAACATGGATTTCTCATTGAGAATGTTCAGTTCTTCTGGATAGAGCTCCAAATCAGCACCCTACAGGAAAAAAAGGAAAAAAAATTAAAAAAGAAAACTTATCAGAAAGGAATTCCAAAGTACAAATACAATGAACGGATGACAAAATGCTTGAAATAAGTATAAAACCCCCTTGAAATGTTGTTCCCGTATTTCAGCAGCACCCATTCCTAATGAACGGCTGGACAACTGAGTCAACCTCATACTGCTATCTATTGGATCAGACGACAGCCTAAAACGCAACACAACAACAAAATGATCACCGAACAGCAAGTTAAACTCATAATGAATCGTAGTGTTAATAAAATGCGTGTGTTTAATTTTTTTTCCTTTTTTTTAACGAAGCGCGTAAAGAGAATGCTCACTTATTTTTGAACTCCACGATTTCAGGAAGACTGGAATCAAATAGAATTCTTGTCGTATATTTTGTATTTGTTATCCCTATCTTACCTAATCAATCAAGAAAACTTTAGTAACGGAGATTCAGAACACACAAATTAAAAAAATGAAATATATTAAGCACAAATTATTGAAAATACCCCTGAAACCCTTAATCCTTGCAAGCTGGACGATCACAACATTTTGAGGAGAATCGTTATTTTCCAACAAAGATTGAACTTTATCTACATGCTGCTCCCACAAAGTACATTCGAGCTTGTGACCCCTATTTCACGAAAGTTGGAAGAAATAAAAATATATTTAATCTGAAAATATACTCCATAATAATCACACAAACATACCGGAGGTCATCAAGTTCCAACACAACCATTTTTGTTTTTCTGCCAGACACAACATGCTCACGAATGTCTCCAATACCTGACAGCAAACCGATGACGTCTACAGAGAGGAGAAGTTGAACACTTATCATAGACATTAACACATAAAATACAAACGAAAAACACAGACAAAAAACATTACCTACTAAATAAGGAGAGTCAGCTGATTCCCTCTCTATCACGTCAAAATCAACAAAACTAAATCCATTAGCAGGAATAGTAGCATCTTCAGTCGATTTAACATCGGTCCTCAAGTTGAACGATAGCCGATAATCATGTCTAGTTGGCCTGAAGGAATCACTGTTCAACCCAACGCCAAAAATTCTTATAAATAGACATCCCCTTCGCAAATTTTTTTACGGACATTCAGAGTTCCCTTGACAGTAGCATGTATCCTTCCACCCTACAAAAAAGATACATTAGATACATTCACACAAGGGCCGTAAATGAAATAAACAATTAAAAAATAACAGAACGAAAAGCATTACCTTCTCGTCTAATAGAACCATGTCCAGATTGTCGTCAAGAATTTTTCGCTGAAAATTAGCAACATTCCAGGTCCTAATAACCCGCACCTTAATCCTCCACTCCTCCTTCGACGGATTAAGATCCTTAATGAAATCATACCTCGAGTACATATTTCGTCCGAAAAAGATTGAGCAGATGAATATGCAACAAAATCAGAAATTGAACAGGATGCGAAGGGAATACGCTCTAATGGAGTTGGGTCATACAAAAAAGTGAGGGCGTTTTTAGTTTGTGATGAAATGGAGTTGGGTCATGGAGCAACTGCATAGTTATATTTTGACAGCAATTTAAGAGTTTCGTTTTGACTCCCAAAACAACTTTTCGTGTTCCAATGCACCCATTTAAGAGTTATGTAACCTTTCGAATTCTGGCTCCATTAATTAAAAAAGGGTTTAGGGTTTATCGTATTCAATGATTGTTTTTTTCGTGTACAGCAATAAAAGCATGACGCAAGACAAATCATCATCATTATTTATACACAACTTCCAAAATGGACTTGAAAAGTCTCTTTTCTTATTTGAATTCAAATTATAACATTCAATGCACATAACGATTACCAATGTATAAAGATGTGGAAGACATTGGTGAAAAATAAGAAAAACATTTATTTTATTTTAATTAACTCTGCATTTTCGATTTAACAAAAATACCAAAATTAAGAAGAAAGTTTTTAAATTTTCCCAAATGTGAACACATTGGTGAAACTGAATGTGACAGTGACACGTCACTAAATTTTCCATTGATGTTTATTCCCTTAGTATATATAATGATTAATGAATTCTGATCTTCCAAAATTCTTCTCTTCTCTCCTCCATCCTCATGAGCGCCTAACAGTGAACATTGGTCTCTACTGGATTGGATCCACGATCCCTTTAGCTTGGTAGTAGATAAGCCTAAAGGAGTTGAAAACTGACTTTTATATGCTATATCAATCAGTGAATATCTACTATTTAAGAATTAACAATTATAATCATAGTCAATTAATAGTCCACTAATTAAGACACGGTTAACACTGACCATTTAATTCCCATTTGATAGTTAATATTATAAATTACTTAAAAGCGGTATGATTATTTAAAATGTCATATAACTTTATGTTCTAATATTAGTTATACATCAATAATTCATGGTTAAAATTTATGTTTTTTATACTGACAATAAATTATTTTTCTCACTTGGAATGGTCCTTTATATATATTCATCAGTCCTGTTCTAGAATGTCAACAAATTAATTGTACATAACGTGTCATTTGAATATTTTTGTCAACTTTTAAAATTCAAAAGACGAAAGGGGACTAAAAGCAGGTGCATTATTGTACTAAAAAAAAAAGTTGGCGCGTTGTACAAAGACTACGACAGATTCTTATCTTCTTATGCAAACCTAGTTCAATTTAAATTGAACACCATCTCTTATATATCTGGTTGCAGTATACTTGCATCTTCAATTCATTTCGAAGCTAAACACCAAGTTCCCTGTTCTACCATGTCCAATCAAACTTCCTCAACCATTGATCCCTACAAGCATTTGCAAATCATCTACAACCCCGATGGCACACTCACTCGCATGCTTCCTGATCCACGCACCTTACCCTCATCAGACACCACGCTTCCTATCTCTGTTCTCACCAAAGATGTCACCATCAACCAAATAAACAACACTTGGGTTCGATTATTCCTACCCCGAAAAGCAATACCGGTTCATGGTTATTCCACTTCCAACCAAAACCACAAGCTACCTCTCATCGTTTTCTTCCATGGTGGCGGATTCATCTTAGGTAGTGCTGCTTCCACCAGGTACCATGATTTTTGCTTGAACATGGCAGATAGCATTAAAGCCGTCGTTGCATCGGTGGAATACCGCCTTGCGCCGGAGCACCGGGCGCCGGCGGCGTATGATGATGCCATGGAAGCGGTGCTTTTCATTAGAAGCAGCCAAGATGAGTGGTTGACTCAATATGTTGACTATTCTAATTGTTATTTGATGGGGAATAGTGCTGGGGCTGTTATTGCCTACCATGCAGGTCTACGTGCAGCACAAGAGGTTGATCATCTTGAACCACTGAAGATCAAAGGGTTGATACTGCGTCAACCAGGCTTTGCTGGGACCAAGAGGACTGATTCAGAGTTGAGGCTTGAGAATGATCCTGTTCTTCCGTTGTGTGTTACCGATATGTTGGCGGAGCTAGTATTGCCAATTGGGGTTGACCGTGATCATGAGTATTGCAATCCAATGGTTGGGGATGGTCCTAAAAAACTAGATAAGATCAAGGATCTTGGGTGGAGGGTATTGGTGAGTGGAAATGGTGGGGACCCACTTGTGGACCGTGGGAAGGAACTTGTGCAGTTGATGGAGGAAAAGGGTGTTCAAGTAGTTAGTAACTTTGAGGAAGAGGGTCGCCATGCGGAAGAGATATTTGACCCAATTAAAGCAAAGGAACTATATGGATTAGTGAAAGGTTTCATTTCCTCAATTTCTGCTTAGGGGAATTAATCGTTTATTACCGAGTAGCTAGTTGTGCATTAAAAGTTTGATTTGTTTCCTTTTGTAATTTGCCTTTTGCATGTAAAATAAAAAATCTTGCGCTTAGGGTGCATTAATACTTATAATAAGATGTTATATTTACTAGTGTGTTTAAGATGGGTGAATCCTTTGTTATATTAATGAATTTATGTTTGGTTTTATTAAATTTGTAAATGAATTTCTCAAGAGAAAGAGTGTTTTGTGTGTTTTATAAGAATGTATGTATAATCGGGCTTGTTTGAAGCCTCCTGTATATATGAACTTAGATATATTGGGTGATATAAAATAATAGCTATCCTATTATCTTAATTTTGGGCCTTATTTGACCCAAACCAAGTCGGAACGCATCCGTGTGAATTAAGCTCTCCCAAAACTAAAAGTCAGCCTTTCCCCAAATAAATAAAAAACAGCCAACATCAGCATAAAAGACGAGGGGGCGCAAAGACATCTTAAAATATTTTCACATCCTTTAGAATTGTGGAATTCGGAATAAAATGCACAAAGATTGCAATAAAAGTTTAATAAGTTGAAAATTAATGTGTATAGCTTTCTTTTACTGTACTAATTTCAATTACTTTTTTGAGATGAGTTGCCCCAAGTTATTCCTAAAAGTTTCAACTCTTTAAGTCGGTCATGAGACTAATTTCAAGTCGATAACTTTTTATTAATTTATGACTTCATACATAGATGATTTTTTTAATGTAATTTCTTCTTTTTCTTTTTTGGTAATCAATGTAATTTCTTTTCGAACGTTATTTCAATGTAATGTAATCTAATAACATATATTTTCTTATGCTTTTTGTTGATATTGTATTACTGATAAGTTATTCACTCACTTCGTCTACATTTTGTTCTTGCAAAACAAATATTCATTCATTTTAGAAAAACCATATATATAATCATAGGGGGTTTGTTTTGTTTTGTTAATTTAATTTAGTTTAGTTTAATTCTTTTATAATTTCTGTTTTAACGGAGACTAGGTTTGTGAAGAATATATAAGTGCTTGTGCAATTATAAATGCAATAAAATATTAGAATAATTTATTTTAATATAATTGTAATTTAGCTTCACTTGACAACTTAAATTATTAACTTGATAGGCACTTTGTTCATGGATTGCGTAAGGGTGTTTGGTACGAGGATAAAATTTAAAATTTCAGGAAACTTAAATTGGGAATCTGAGATACTCATGTTTGGTACAAGAAAGTATGAAATTTTCCAGCGTTTCTTACTTTCCCGGGATTTTAGAATGTGAAGAAAATTCTCAAGTAATAATACAATCTAACATATGGTATTTTGAAAATCCCACATGCTAAGAAAATATTCTCAAGATTTTCAGACAAAAATACTCGATTTCCTCTCTCTCTCTCTCTCTCTCTCTCTTTCCTCGTTTCCAAATCGCTTCACCTCCTTCATCTTCTCCTGCCAAAGCTATAGGTGGAAGTTGCAAAGTCGATTAATACCCTCATTCATCTCTCTCTACTCGTTCCCAAATCGCTCCACCTCCTCCACCCTCTTCGGCCAAAGCTATAGGTGGAAGTTGTAAAATCTATTGTAGACAAGTTTGATTTGAAGTAAAAGAGGTGAAATTGGAGTTTTAGGAAGGGAAAAAATAAAATAAAAATGGCATATGGTGGTGTAGGTCTTATGAGTGGTTCGAGTTTGGCATCAGCAATTAAGCAGGTGAAATTGGAGAGAGAAAGCAAACCGAGATTTTAGTCAGCAGTAGGTTACTGTTACATTCTCAACGTATAGAGTGTTACTGTTAATTGTTTTTTAATACAGTTCCCATATGCATTTTAGTGTGGCTTTTGGTTGCCGACATTTTCTGTGTGTGCTGATTGAGAGTGAGCGAAAGAGAGAGTTGAGAGTGATAAGGTTATTTTTGTAAAATCACCTTACACTCCTAGTAATATTTGACAATCAACCAAACATATAATCAGCAATCTTAGGCCAATATTCCCGATAATATTTTGACCTACCAAATAACTTTTTGATCACATTCCCGGGAAACTTATGTTCCCTGTATATTTTCGGGAATTATCATTCCCAGACAAAAAAAAAAATTTCCTCTACCAAACGCCCCCTAGAAATAAGGTAAAGGTTAAAGTAGGACGAAAGAGAAAAAAACAACAATGAACATTAATAACATTTTAAGAAGTAAAATATGCTTTATTACTTATGTTATTCATATGCATTCATCCAACCATCCTAAAAAATGCTTTCAACTGTTATCCTTATCAACTAGGTTTATTTGGATGATCTTTTGCATATAACAAACAATTTATTCATTGCTTATTTTTGAAGGATTTTTTTACAAATGTCAAAATTATTTTATGTTTAGATACAAAAAAACACCGTCAAGGACAATGGTTCAAGGACATTTTTTATAATGTGGCAAAAGATTAAAAACTTCTTATAGTATGCGATGTAGTGTTAGGGTAGGTGGCAAAATCATTCAATCCCTTCAGTTATTTCACTTGTAAAATATTTACTTATTTTTCCCTAATTCGTCTTCTTTCTCTTCTCTATCTCTATTTTTTTAAATTTCTTTTATTTTAAGCCATATTCTCTATCTTCACAATCTACAAAACTCTTCTTTAATTCTCTTTTTCATTTTTCATATTAGAGAGTAATATAAACCATTAAAAAAGCCATCACTCAACACCTTAAGTTCTGGATTGAAATTGTTCTTTACATGGTATTAGAGCTTTAGTGACGACAACATCACGAGTTCAATCATCACTGCCCAGCACTTTCGAGAGGAATTAAAATAAGCATAAGGTAAACCAAAAAATTGGCCATATGCAATATCCATACTTCAAGACCAAAGGGCTCTTGTGTGAGGGGACATGCTAGAGAATAATATAAACCATTAAAAAAGCCCTCACCCAACACCTTAAGGCTTTGGGTTGAAATAATTCTTTACATTCCACTTTGATTACAAGTCACATTTCTCAAAGTGTACGATTCCCTCGAATTTTTCTCTAATTTTCTTAAGCGAATTTGATCTTCTCTATATTGCCATTGCTATTATGCTAATTATGATAGTTGAAGTGTTGCATTGTCACATAATTTCATTTGAAATCTTGCAGGAAGCATAATGACGAATGAGGAGTTGGTAAATGCGCTCGATGAAGAAATTTCATTAATTCATCAATTATGTCAATATTGTTTCAAAGCAAGCAATTACACTTGAATTTGTGATCAATTTTCTTGCTTCTACATTTGTTTTCTTAATCTCATGCTTTTATTTGGATTATTGTTGATTTTGTCCATTGTTGTTAAGTTGTTTAGTGTTTGGTAAAGCCACTGATGTATCCCATGGAGAGCAAAATATGTTGATATATGGGTACTCTCGGCAACCACGGTATGAACTATGACCCTGTTGGAACTTCCTAGGTGCTGTATATAGAAAAAGGGATGTGTAAATGGCTATAGTAATAATAGCTCATAAGATGAAAAGATGAGAAAAAATCCCCTTTCCATGGGAGAAAGGGGTACTTAGAGGGGAGAATAGACTAGAGTTGTCCCACGTTTTCAAGTCTTGTCCCTTAGATAAGGCATGCTACCCTATTGTTAATGCACAGAGGATAACATTGTAGAGGTATAGGATGCCTTTAGAAAATTTTAGATATGAGCTAAAAAATTGGGTCAAACTTATTGGGACTAAAAGGCCCGACCAAAACAATTGTACGTATATCTCATTCTGATTTTGTCTTTTCATTTAAATTGTATGCAAAATACTTGATAAAAAACTTGAACCAAACCAATTGCAGTATGTTGAGATATATAGTCCCACATTGGTTGTATGTGCAACAAATGTAGAGTTTATAAGGCCTTGGGCACTCCCTCCCTATGAGCTAGCTTTTGGGGTGGTGTATCCCAAGGTTCTTTGACTTCAAACTCAGAGGCAAGCCGTGTTTGCAGAATCTGTCTCTCCACAAAATCATCACCTGTGATAATAATATCATCAAAATATACAAGGAGCACAGTAAGCTTCCCATCTTGGGAGTGCTTGAAGAAAAGAGCGTGATCTCCTTGACTCTGTCTGTATCCTAAGGTCATTATAACCTTAGTAAACCTTCCAAACCAAGCACGAGGTGACTGCTTCAATCCATACAAGGCCTTTTTTAATCTACAAACTTTGTTTCCCCCTTCACAGAATCAAAACCAGGCGGGATTTCCATGTAGACTTCTTCTTCTAACTCACCATTGAGGAAAGCATTTTTCACATCAAATTGATTTATATCCCAATTGTAATGGGTAGCAAGGGATAACAAGATTCTCACTGTATTCATCTTTGCAAATGGAGCAAAGGTTTCTTCATAATCAATGCCATAGGTTTGAGTGTAACCTTTGGCGACTAATCGAGCCTTGTATCTCTCAAGAGTACCATCAGAATTATATTTCAGGGCATAAACCCATCTGCACCCTACTGCTTTCTTTCCGTTGGGTCTATCAATAACCTCCCATGTTTTATTTTTCTCCAACGCATTCATCTCCTCTTGCATGGCTTGAGCCCAATTCCCATTTTTCAAAGCTTCATGTACTGATTTTGGGATTAAAGTAGAATCTAGTGCTGAAACAAAGCTTTTGTGCTGCACAGAAAGGTTAGTAGAGGAAACAAAATAGGAGATAGAGTATTGAGTACAAGAGGGACAGGAGGAACAAGATTTATTGGAACAAGATCTTTTTCCTTTTCTTAGAGCAATAGGTAAATCATCAGAATCAGTAGTAATGGGTAAGTCATCAAAAGTATTAACATCATGATCAGAAATATGAGATGCAAGACTTACCAGTGGTTGAGACGATTGAGGTTGCTGGTGAGGCAATGTGGGTTGTTTCCTTCTATGATATACCAACTCAGGTGTCACAATCTTCCGTATCTCTAGTGTACTTGATGGATCAGACACAGGAGGATTAGACACTGACACAGAAGGAACAAAAACAAGAGGAGGAGGTGAAGGAGTAGACACTGAAGATTCAAACTCAAAGAAGGACGGTGATGAGTTGTCTAGTGAAGTATTCTCCCCCTGAAGATGAGGATCTTTGAAAAAGGACGCAGATTCTTGAAACGTAACATCCATAGAGACAAAAAATTTTCGAATTCT